GCGTGCGCTGCTATTCAAGCCAATGGGGCTTGAATATTGGCCATTTTCCATTTTTGTGGGTTGTTGTTTTTTTCCTCTGGAACTGATCCCCCATGAAAATGGAGAGGCGACTGTATAGAATTCATGGAATCATAAAAAAGTCTTCTATGAATGGGTCTGTTACACTAGTTTTTACATTACCACTGCCACATAATACATATATCTGACAGTTATGTGCAAAGAATGCCTCACCACATGCTTTGCCCTTCCATACAAAATGTGTGGATAATAAGTGGAATATCCACCAAACCTTAGATCCTCCATGTACAATCCCTAATTCACTTATGCAAGGCTAGGAATAAAATATGAGATGCTTGTTAATGATACACAATCAAGGAATTATTCATAAAACAAAAGTATTTCCCCCCGACTTTCCTCTTCAAAATTTTCCACTGTCTATGACATACCACTTCCATAACATGTGCGCTCCACTGAGACAGAAGCTGGAGACCCTGGAGAGAAAGGTCAAAAAGTTTTCGATACTCAGCATCTGTTTTCTGAGCTTCTTGACGTCCTGATCCAGTCACCACCTGTAACAAAAACATTATTGTCAAAATTAGTTGTTTCATGTGTGCACAATACAACTATATATATATAGTTTTTCCACTGTATAATATATATTAACATATATAATTTTCCTAGTTTTAAACCTTTGTAAAAACATTCAGAAGCCCAACTTCAGCATCACCATATACATGTGGCAGCCACTTCTCCATACTGATGTCTCATGCTGATCAAGTAATGCTAATTGGGATTTTTCCCCCAGCTATGCAAAATTATCTTGCCATCTTCTATTTATCTTCAGCAGAACATCCGCTTGGACATCTTAGTTTTTTCAATGTCCTTATACACAGACATGTATCTTTCACTTATGATCTGTTCACTCTTAACACTGCATTGCAGGCACAAAATTGGCAAAACGTTTAAAGAATTGCTATTACAGTGGTAAGGTACTAACTGTAACTTCACTTAAGAACAAGCAGTTTATATCAATATTCCCCTTCATATTTGAAGTGGTACCATTTATCACACCAGTACTGGTCTTGAAGTTCTACCCATTCACAAGGGGGAGAAATGCTGTAGTGAGAAAAAATATACTTCATAAATTCAAACGGTTTTTCCCCTCCTTACTGCACAACTCTGAGGATTGAGGCTGGACACTGAACGCATATTTCACTGCAGTTCCCTGTGATCGAATTCAACTCTTATTAAGAGACATCATTTGATTTCTTGATCATTCAGCCTATACATTCACAAAAATGTGTCTAGTTCCTTAAAAAAAACTGTTCTTAAAATCCTGTTCTTAAATTCCTAAATGGAATTTGTAGGAAAAGTGAAATACACAATACACAATACCTAGAATTTCAAGCAGCATTTTACTTTACCTATTCATTGTGCAAAAGTTTAACTGATATTTCTCCAGTGTAGAAATAATTTTCACTACTCTTTGTAAAAAATAGTAGCACATCAGACTGCAACTGTAAGAGAACTGTCTGCACATAAGACCTGCTCTCATCCAAAGCAGAGGCATCCTGAATTAAGTCACACACCTCACTATTGCTGTAACGAGCCAGTTCCGAAATAAAACGCATGTGGTCATCTCTTATCTGGATCATCTGTTCACAGATGTTGTACTGTGGACTACTGCTGGAGGAAGTACATGTCCATCTAGGATAAGAAGGGAGAAAAACATGAATAAAACAAAACAATAAATTATAAAAGGGAAGAAAAGGGGGGAAAGCCACCTGCCCCCTCCTCTTTTATGGCAATCCAGTTGTATGTACACTAGTGGCAAAAGTGTTTTTACCCCATTGTAACAATGAAAGGAAATAACTGCAAACTTATTTTGCTGCTGTCAAAGAACAACATCCCTATGTGTCCTCTTCCATCTTATCCCCATAAATCTAGGAAATTAGGAGTTTGGTATGGGTCCAATGAATGGTCTAGGACTGTGATGACAAACCTATGGCAACGTGCCAATGATAGCATGCAAAGCCATTTTCCCCGGCACGCAGAGGGCGGGGAGGAGGAGAAAGAGGCGTGTGCCTGTTCCTCCTCCTTCCCGGCTGTCCCAGGCCTTCAGATGCCTCCTCTTCAGCTGAAGGCCAGGGATGGCACAGGGAGAGGAGAAGGAACAGGCACACCCCTCCCTTCCCCCCGGGCCTTCAGTTGTCTTTGGAAAGGCAGCTGAAGGCCCAGGGGGGAAGGTGGGGCAAAGAATTCTCGCCCCAGAAGTCCTGCCCCTGGAGGGTGGAAGTTCCACTCCCAGCACTGGGTAACACCCAGTGCCAGAAGGCCTCTTAGTTTGGGTACTTGGCCTCTAAAAGGTTCGCCATCACTAATCTAGGAGCAACAGAAACTGCATTCGTTCATTCATTCACCCATTCATTCATCACATTTCTTATATCCTGCCTTTACTCAAATGAACTGAAGGTGCATTGCCTGGCCCTCTTCCTCTCTGACTTTATTCTATCATGACTCCTAGAAGCAGATGAGCTTGAGAGGTTGGGACTCGTCCAAGACCATACAGGGCCAGAATTAATATACTACACTGGCTTTTGAGTTTCACTGGCAGCTAACTGGCTGCTGACCTCAAATGTAGCTAAGATAGAAGACCTATGAAAGAGCAGGACATAACAAAGAGCAAGGGGCATAAGACATGACTAATGTCATAGATGTCACTGTTCCCCACAAGTGGCCATAAATGATAGAGAGTGAAGAAAAGGAAGGATAAAAATTTCATATCAGTAGTTCAATTTAAGAGGCAAAGGGTAAAGGTTTCCCCTTTGACAAGATTGTCAAGTTGTGTCCAACTGTAGGGGGTGGTGCTCATCTCCACTACCAGCATTGTCAAAGACAACTCTGTGATCATGTGGCCAGCATGACTGCACAGAATGCTGTTACCTTCCCACTGAAGTGGTCCCTATTTATCGACTTGCACTTTTACATGCTTTTGAACTACTAGGTTGACAGAAACTGGGACTAGTGATGGGAGCTCACTCCATCACATGGCATTTGGGCCTCAAACTGCCAATCTTGCAATCATCAGAGTCAGCATCGTAACAACTGAGCCACCACATCTCTCTTTACCTTTAGCTCTATTACTAAACATTAATTACAAATGAGAGGATGGGGGGTGGGGAAACGCAATCATAGAAGCCATCAAATCACAAGGACATACAGCTTACCCTATTTTCCAGACCACCTACTGGACGAAATCTAATTGTGTGGAGTGCCACCCATCTTTCTTCCTTTAAAGCCCTTCTATTGTTACATGTTGCTTATATTTAGTCTTCAGAAATTAAGACAACATAAAGCAGAGAAGGCATTACTTCTCTGGCATTAATTAATTAATTAAGGCATTAATGAGAAGGCATTACTTAGAAAGCAAAGCTGTCTGTGCAAAAAAGGATCCCCCTTGTTCTATAACAGGAAGGATTTTCCATGCACTGTAATGTGGTGCAACCTTCTGTACATTACTGAAAGAAAATAAATATGGCACGGTTGCATGGAATACAGCATATGCCCACCTGTCAATGCAGCAACCAAGAATATCCAACTTAATTCGTTTCCTTGAATCAAAGAATAAATTATGTTCTATATTTAGGATTTGGAGGGAGACAATATTTAAGGCTTCATGTTTAAGTATGCTTCCTAAACCATACATTCCATTAGTCAGTGGAACTTACTTCCAAGTAGACATATATAGCATCATACTATAAAAAGAGTCAGATGTCAGTTTTTCTAAATATAATTGCTAGTATCACTGTTATTATTTCAATTCTTTTATTTTTGCTAGATTGGGGTGGGGGAAACCTATGACCTTCCAGAGGTTACTGGACTACAATTCCCATCACCAGTCCATTGGCCATGCTAGTAGGGCTGACAGAATCTGAAGTGTTATAAAACTCAAAAACCAACATGATGCCCATCACTACTCTAGAAAATGTATGAAAAACAAGCTGTCATGTCCCATGGTAAAAAACTGACAAAGACACCACCATATTTCTCAAACAAATTATCTCTGTTTATGTCAGAAATTAAATTATAAGCAGGTTTGTTACTCTTTCTGCAAGACAGGTTTGTCTTTTGAACCTTACCTAGATTTATTTTCCTCATAGTGAGCACTAGTCTTAATGTATCTTGCCAGTTCAATCTGCATGTCACCAAACAGCGGAACTACTTGCAGCTGCTGTCCTCAAGAGAGAAAACAAATTAAGCAAAATGTTATATGCAATCCTCATCCATCCTCTTGACAAGCTACATTTAGAGTTTAACCAGAGATTTAAAAAAAATGTGCAAGGCCATCACAATTCTGTCTTTGTATACAAGTCTCCTAAGGTTTAATTCAAATACAGTAGTATGATGCCCAGTATTAGAACTTCTTTCTTAATACAAATTCTGTGATTATGTTTTCATATTGATGCCAGAATGAACAGCAACTTTTTTCCAAAGAAAATTTAATGTAAGTGACAGGTTACTTCTCAGAGTCTGACAAAGGGGAAGGTCCAATTTTCTCAGCTATATTATTCCCCCCCTCATCCTGCTACCACTGAAATATTGCCCATCCTTCTGTTACATATAGGATGTCAGCCATTATGTATTTGATGCATGCAGACTAGGAATACCTTTAGAGCAGGAGAGATAAATATGTGACTCTTCAGATATTGCTGGACTACTATCTTTATCAGCCCTCTCCAGTTTAGCCAATGCTAATGCATTATGGGAACACATAGAGGGTCATGTGGAGCACATCCTCACCTTAACAGCATAACCATGGTTGGGAAAATGGTGGGTGCTTGTTCACCAGGTATCCTAAAAGATGTGATGTTAATTGCCCCACAAAATTTGGAACTTTCTCCATCTCCCCACATAGCTCACACTTGAAAAACCAGTCCTTGGTCCCTAAATATTCAGTGTGGTTTCCTAAACATTTAAGATGTATATAAATACACCTTAAAGCCAGAGTGGCATAGTAGTTTGAGCAGCGGACTGTGACTCTGGAGACCTGGGTTTGATTCCCAGCTCAGCCATGAAACCTACCAGGTGACCTTAGGCAAGTCACACTCTCCTCATGGAAACTGACCAAAAAACCTGAGTCGACTTATCCACGGATCAATGTAAGTACTGTAGCTTAACTCTTATTAAAAAGGAACCATCCCCTGATGATAGGCAAGAGTATTGTCTGTCCTGGAAGCACTGACACACACACCCCCCCGCTCTCTCATCCATCCAGCCTTTAGGGTGAGCACAAACAGCTATGCTTGCTGGAATTTTGTAATTTCTTTAGCATTGTTTTCTTTTGCTTCATCCTTTACCTTTTACCTTTGACTTATCCACAAGTCATATCAAAATCCATTAGTTTTACCTTTGACTCATCCACAAATCATATCAAAATCCATAAGTTCAGCCCCAAAACCTGCCCTCAACTTATACATGAGGTCAACTTATAGTCGAGTATATATAGTACATAAACACGTTTTAAATCAAGGGTTCTTAACTTCTGGTTTTCCAGATGTTTTGGACTTTATCTCCCAAATTCCATGAGTATTGGCAATACTGGCTGGGGCTTCCAGGAACTGAAGTCCAAAGGGTCTAACTGATTAATACTTGAGAACTACTGTTTCAAAAGGTAGGCGAACTTCTTAACCAACCTTAAAAAACTTATCAATCTTGGTAAGATTTATCCTTTTTTTAGCATCCAGCTTATAGACGTTACTGACACTACCATCCATCAGGTACAAGCCAAAACCCATTACCTGAAAAGAGAAACAAAAAACAAAAAACAAATGTAATAGTAGCCAATATGTTTGTTGGGGTGTTTATAGTATTTCACTCTTCTCTTCAGGAAAAAAAGGGGAGAAACGTTTTCAGCAGGAAGACCAGTAATGAGGCAATCCCTACCCCTCAATGTTTTCTGTACAAGACATGACATAAAAAGAAACAGTAGCAGAAAACTAACAAAGTCTGATACTAGTTTTCATTGCAGAGGTCTCCTAAATGTTTAACAAGTATGCAAATTCTGCATGAATATGTTTCAAAAGACTGAAAGAAAATTAGTATGTAAGTGCCAACCATTTCTGTCTCTAACTGTTTGTTTGTTTGTTTGTTTACATTGTTAACTGCCATTAAGTCACCTTTGACTTATGGTAATGCTTTGAATCAGAAGCTTCCAAGTCACCCTTGGACCCAGGACCATGGCTTCCTTGGGGTCATGCAGACTGGCAGATTGAAGTGGCCTCTGGCCGCTTCAGTGCTGGTTAATCCTGATTGTTTCAGGACTGCGGTGACCGCACAGTCCTGGTCCTGATCTGGGCCGTCACTGTGGTCTTCAACCTGGCTGCCAGCAAGAGCGGCTTTTGTACCGGCTCTTCTGGGTTTAGCACACTCCCCGCACAGCTTCTTACCACTTTTGGGGCATGCATCATGTGTACACCCTGCTCCTGAAGGAGCTGGATGCCACTTTTTTCCTGCCCATCTGTTTTGGCCTCTTGATTGGGTCTATCCAGTTGTAATGCAGTCTTCCTCTTTTCCTATTGCCTTCTACCATGTCAAGCATGACTGTCTTTCTAATGAGTCATGTCTTTTCACATTATGTCTAAATAATGACAATCTCAGCTTAGTCATGATGGCATGGACAATCTTGACTGTGGCAATCCATGATAAATCTTTACATTTTGGTGTCATATCTAGTTCCCTTCCAGTTCCTACTCTTCTTCTGATTTCTTCATTATAGTATGCCTTCTGACCTCTGAGTCTCATCTCATGGCAATACAAGTATACCTCAGTTAAAATGCCTCTGACAAAGAAGTGCCTTTTTACAGTCTTTTTATAGCCAGCCACCTCCCCTTTTTCTCCTTGACTTCTGTCCAGCTATAGGTGTTTTAGCAGCATCAACATTGGGAGGAGGATTGGAGGACTGGAGAAACACAGATTTTCCATGTTGGTTTGCAACTATCTACAGTAAACAATGTAATAAAGCTTCAGCTGGGAAAGAATGGGATTCTTTTTTAGCTGATTCTACCATAGGCATGTGTGCGTGCCTACAACAGGCAAGGTAAGCAGCAGCTGTGTGATAATGGGCCATTTCATTATCTAGACAACACAGCTGAGGGATAGTCTCCTTGCCAAGTAACCAAAGGGCTAATAAGGTGATGCTGTTGACTGGCATTTAGTGGGGTCAACATCACAGAGATGACATGACATTTGTCCAATGGGACTGGCCAATTTGGCAGAAGTGCCAAGCAGAAGTTATAAAAGCCCCAGGCAACCATGAGGTAAAAGAGAAAGACAAGGAAGGACAAGGGGGCTGGATGCCTGCCACACATATGAACACTCGGTCAAGGCTGAATGCTCCAGGGACATCCGAGATCCAAGGACATTTGTCACATGAGTACAATAGATGCATCAGGGCTTATGTTTATTTTTGTGATCTTGGCTGTATATGACCTAAACTATTCTGTTGCTTTATAACTTCTTCTAAGGGTGTCTGAAATGAGGTGCCTTTCATGTAAAAGATATGATTTGCTATATAGGCTGCTGTTTAGAATAAAGTTTCCTTTACAGATTTCCACTCTCTCACAATCTTTCATCTGCCTGCTCCTGCAAGGGAGGGACGAAACTCTTGGTGGAGTCAGAGGTGGAAAATGCAAGTTGACCTCACAGTAACTTCCCATTGAGTTACTAGGTTACATGGGCTAAAATCAGTGGGTGGTAGCAGTTTGTCTAGATGCCTTCAAAGGGTGCCATCCTACTCAGCAGAAGCAGGAGAGGAAGCCACAAGGCATGACAAGCTGCTTCCAGAATCCCCTACTAAACACGTGTGAACAGCAAATAGAAAATCAGACAGCAGATAAGCCTGCCTCACCATCTACCCCAGCATGTTAGAAAAGCATAGCTCTATAAGTGTGAGCATCAAAATGGAAATCATATGGAAAGCAGAGATTAGTGAAAGGGGAATAAAATCCATGGAGGTGTTTCAGAAGAAACTTTCAAATGGTCTCTAGAAGGTGTAATTGATTTTGCTTACTTATACAAGGCTGACTTAATGCGGTTGTTTCATTTCACATGTGCATATTGTTAGTTTTGAATTTAACAATCTGCTCAAACATGCTGATCTGTTCTTTTTTTGTGGTTTAGGAACCTAACTCTACTCTTTCCATGCTATCTTTGCCTCTGGTACTAAAGTTTCTGTTTAAGAGGTAATGCTCAGGAACACACCTACTGTATTAATTGAGGTATACCTGTATTTCTTACTTTATTTTGGATTGTTTCATCATAGAGTTTTCATGGCAAAAGCATTCAGAAATGGTTTACTGGCGCCTCCTTTTGTGGAGTACTAACAAGTTGCAGTTATAGTACCACTGCTGTTGCCGCTGAGAGATGATCTGCCAGTGTCACGCATACACTCATTACTGCTGCTGCCTAGTATATGTTTGGCACAAGTAGTCTGGCCACTCATCAAAAAGCCTGGCTGACGTGTGAGACCCTGTCAGCAGCAGTGCTACTAACAGCAGAGCCTCTTGCCTCACAGGAGCATACAAGCCCATCACCACAGAAAGTTGGCATCATGGTAGTGCCTTTATTTATATACCGTATTTTCCGGCGTATAAGACGACCCGGCGTATAAGACGACCCCCCATTTTTCCAGTCAAAATATAGAGTTTTAGCACCTCTATCCTCCTTATCCTTATACCCGGCGTATAAGATGACCCCCCCCCCACTTTAACCACAGATTTTGCAGGTTAAAAAGTAGTCTTATATGCAGGAAAATAAGGTAAATGTATCTGCCAACAGTAAATACAAGTAAAAGAAATAAATACAATTAAAGCTTAACAATAGGTTAAGGGAAACAAAGCTTTCTTTCCACCATAACCCAACTTTTATGTCAAAGGCCTATCTGGAAAAAAAAAGGTCTTTGCTTGCTGGTGGAAAAAAAAGAACAAGCAAGAGATCAAACTGGCCTCCCTTGTCAGGGAGTTTCAGAGCTTGAGAATGACCATGAAGAAAGTCCAACCTCACATCCTCCTTAATGGGAGAAGAACTTTCCCCAGAGATCTTAAAACTTGGCAGAGATCATAACAAAGAGTATGACCCTTCAAATACCCTGGTCCAAAGTCATACAAGGTGTTTACAGGTCACAAAAAGCATACTGAATCATGCAAAGAATGGTAACCAGAGAAGCTGTTCTAGCAAAGAAGTCACTAGCTTTCCTATACTAGCACTAATGGATAGTTTGGCCACAGCATTCAGAATCACCAGAGGTTTCTGAGCACTTTTCAAATATAACCCCACATAGAGCACACTACAGTCGCCCCTCCATTTTCACAGGGGGATCCATTCCGGACCACTCCCCACAAAAACGAAAAACCGCAAATATTCAAGCCTCATTGGCTTGAATGGCCGCCTCCTGCGCACGCACCATTTTATCCCTCCCCGCTTGCCGGTCAGCGAAGGACCAAGACCACAGTTTGAAGTTTGCGAATGGGGAGGGACGACTTTATATTCAAAAATGGATCTCACAAAGGCACATGTCACTGTGGCCAAATCAGACATCTCTGCGAGTGTGTGCTGTTGGCAGAATAGCCTTAATAGAGAAAACTCTCTCCTGGTCACCACCAAAACTGGGGCATCCAAACAGAAGGCTAAATTTAGACCTATGCCCAGATTAAAACCATCCAACAAGGAGTGAGCCCCTGTCTTCTGATAATCAAAAGTAAAGAACCAGAGTAGGAAACCAGTACAAAAATCTCTATAAATTTATCAAGTTAAACAGAGACACGTTACACACATGTGAGCATGCACACACACACACACACACACACACACACACACACACACAACCTTATTCTGAAAAAGAAAAGAAACAGCCAGTTAAAATATTCAATAATTGTAGTAAATTTGGGAGATATCAGAAGAAAGCAAATTACAAGACTAAAGGGCTGTACAGACTAGCCACAAGGGAAGGCCTGGGGTGGAGTGAGGCATGGCGACCACACATCAGCCGCCCCAACTCGCCCCCACATCATCCTCA